TTCATTTCTGATTTTTCTATGGTCTTACTTAATATCTCTTGATTAATTTGAACATAGTTAATATTTTCCTCTTTTATTTCTATTCTAAAACATTTTTAAAACACTTTTTTAATGTATATATTAAATGCAATATTATTTTGTGATTATTTTCTGGCTGATTTTGGGTTTAATTTTTTACCATGAACTTTATTAACATCATTAGATCCATGGTGTTGAGTTTAACTCCACAAAAATGGATGAATGATTTTAATAATAGTTTGATTAAAATTTAATTCAAATTTGGTTTGTATATTCTTTCTCACCCCTCTTCATCTCATCCATTTCTTATTGCACTAAGTGTTATTGGAGCATGATCTCTATATCATGTCTCAAAATAAATGGTGCATAGATTGCTATTGACCGGCCACGAAATTGGTGTGACTTCTATATAAATCCACTTACGATTGCTTAACATAGCACTAAATTTTGTCATGATTCGAATAAATGATCATTCGTGGCCCAAACTTATGTTTGCAAGCCCAAGTATGTTAATTTGATCTCTTTGATCCAATAACCTTGAGATTCATTGTGTGGAGGTTTTGGTTCTACCAATCCTCTAATGGATCTACAACGCTTTTGGTCAACGCGGATCACTTAAACATCATTGATCATTAAATGGTATTTTTGAGAATTCCAAATGGATGATATACTTGACAAAAAGCAAATGCAACTTATTGTGTGGAGGCTTTGGTTCTACCAATCCTCTAATGAGTTTCAAATGCAAGTTTCAAGATGGTCATCCAACTAACCACTAATTATTAAATTGTTTTTTTTTCTTTATGCTTTTATTTTTTATGCTTTATGTACCATTTATTTTAAGCATTACATTTTATGTTATTTATATTTTGCTCACTTGAGCATTTATATTCTTGTTATTTTCATTTTGCTCACTTGAGTCTTTCTTTTCTTTTTCAAGACACCTAATAATCAACATGAACCCTAAAAAACCCTTTAATGAAATTTGGACTATTTGGTTACTATCATTGGCATTATGGAGAATTGGACTTCTTGGACTTAGGATTAGAAACCTTGACCTATGTTGGAGACCTTGCGACCTTAATTGATATTTTGTCTGGAGTTATTGAGGTTTACCTCAAGACATTGGGTTATTTGTTTGTTTTGTGTGCAAGTTATTGTGATTACATTCTTTGTTTGTAATCTGGAATTCACCTGTATACATCCGTTACTCTGTCCAATTTTTATGAAGACTTAATACATTTGAAGTTTAGTTCTCTCAAGAGGTCTAGTATCTTTGCTTGTTTGGTTTCAATCCAAAGAATGAAAATTCTATCTTGACTCATAATGTCAAGCAATTGACTTCTTGTTGGTTAGATGGTTCTTCTCCCTAGCTTTTACCTTTTACCTCTCATATTCTTTAATTTCAAAAAATCTCCTCCCCCCATTTGAAAACCCTTCTTGTTTTTAAACTTGGACCACTTTCATAATAAACTTGGACTTAAGTCCATGCATTTTCAAAATATTTTCATAAATAACCTTCAATCAACTTAATAATACCTTAACCTTTTTTTTGTTAGAAGACTAAAAGTCAATCAATCTCATTTCAAACCATTTTTGCCACTTTGGCTTTTATTTTAAAATCTTTCTCAAAAGATTGGACTCTTCAATCTTTATAGTGATGCAAACAACTATACTTCTACAATATGCAGTGAAGAGAGATATTTTCCACTTGGGTGTTAAGTGAGTCATTGTTGATTTTAAAATCCAAGCCATATCCTCCACTTTGAGATGATGCAAATTTCCCTTTCTCATGATTGTGGGTAGTAAGTATGTTTTCCACACGGACAATGACGATGATGTGTTATCCCATAAAATTAACCAACATACTTGTGTTTAAAAATTTCTTAAAGGTGAACTACATGTACTCTAATCCCCTATTGCACGAAAGATGGTACGTAGACACTAAAGGTTCGCAACCGCGGCGGGTGCAAAAATCATTAAAAAAAATAAATTTTCTCACCTCCACCATCTACTTTTTATACAACACTTTATAGCCAAAATATACGGATTTTTTCAAAGGGGTTCCTGCAGAGTACCGTAGATGTTTAGGGTGCTAATATCTTCCCTTTTCATAACCAACCCCCTTACCCTGAATTCCCCCCCCCCCCCCCCCCCCTCCCCCCTTCTTTTTGGGTTACTCGCTCTTTTCCCATTCCTTTGGAAACAATAAAGCGCTGTGGCGATTTTTATTTTGATCTGTGTAAGTCAAGTCAATCCAATGGCTTAGTCTTAAACATTTCTACCACTACAATTGCCATTTGACATTTCATCGTGTTCTTCATCGAGGGTTTTATGTTGACAAAACAATCTTTCCTTTCAAACATGTGTGACGAGCATCCTGAATCCAAGTACCATTGGTCATTGAATCTATCTTCATCTTTAGTTGTGACCATCATCATCTCTTCTTATTTTTCTTCTTCTTCTTCTTATTCTTCTTCATGTTTTGCAAAATTTACATCACTTTCTTGATTCTTTCTCTTTTCTGGATAATCACTAAAATAGTGACCATAATTCTGACAATTGTAACATTGAATGTGACTCTTGTCAGGATTTCGACCACCATCTCTTCCTCTACTTGCAACACCATATCTTTCGTTTCCTTGGTATGGTCTTCTATGTTTTGACACGTTTTCTTCGTGCTGGTTTCTTCTATCAGTCGAATTGTTGTATTCTCTTCAACCTTTATTGTCGAACCACTTTCCTTTTCCTTTCTTATCTTTTGTTGATTGAGCCTGTAAAGCCACATCACTCTTCGATTTTCCTGCAGCTCTTTTAGCCATTCTTTGTTCATGAGATTCCTGCTTCCCTTAAAGTTATTTCTTCGACAAAGTTGACATGTCCTTCGACTCTTATATGGAAACTACCACATAGTCAAACTTCATAGTCAAAGATCTCAAGATTTTTGAAACAACTGCTCTTGTTGTTAGTGTCTCTCCATAAACCTTGATTTGATTCACTAATTTCATAATCCTAGTGAAGAAATCAGATATGCTCTCGCTATCTTCCATCTGAAGTAATTTATACGTTCTTTTGTGAGTTTGTAACCTCACCTCTTTCACCTTTTTTGAACCTCCAAAAGATTTCTTAAGAATCTCCCAGGCTTCTTTTACAGATTCTATATCACTAACATTTTCAAAATTATCTAGACTCAGACATTGATGAATTATAAAGAGAGCTTTATAATTTTTCTTCTTTGATTCTTTGTATTCATTCTCTTCTTCTTCTGAGGCGTCTTCTTCAAGCGGTTCTAATCCATATTTCACAAGATCTCAAAGATCTTGACAATAAAACACAATCTTCATCTGCTTGCACCAATTTTCGTAGTTATCAGTTTTAAGAATTGGAAGACTTGCTGAAAAATGCTCGTTTGAATGATTCATTGGCATCATGATTCTCTTCTTCTTCCCTTGATCGCTCAACTAGAGCTCTTGATACCACTGTTGGGGGGAGTTACTAGGGGGAATATTTTACATGGGACGCACCTTTTATGAGAGGCACATCACGTATCCACCCAAAATCTTAAGGTGATAGGTCTATGGATCCTCTCACTTATAAAGTGTTCAACCTTCACTATTCTAAGCAATGTGGGACTTAGAACTCACACTTGTTTCTCAACAATCTCCCCGTCAAGTATGAGTTCATCCACTATGCTCTCCTCAAGCGAAAGCTCTTTCATCAACATGCTTGTATCGTCATTGACAGACACCCTTATCTCATCATGAACGCTACAACGGAACACGCTGCCTGACCACCATCGTGTCAGGAAGACTTTTGATACAAGGAGTCAGTCACTTTCTCGAACCAAGATCTGATACCAGGTGTTGGAAATCTACCAAATCCTATGATGAATTTATATTAATCTTGATGAACAAGATTGTTATCACCAAACAATGACAATGAAAAAAATATGAAAGAAGAAATACAATAATTTTCTGCAGAGTTTCTCTTTGCCCACAAACTGTGGAAAAACTTCTTATTCACTTGCAACTGCAAGTTCTGTGAATACAACTTGATTAGAAAAATAGGGGTTACCACCTCTATTTATAGATTTATGTTAGCTTGCTCTCTAAGCCAAAGTCTGAAACTATAAGAGCCCATAATACATATTTTAAAACTAAATAAAATCTATCTATTTTAAACCTAAATTAAATTTATCTATTTTAGATCTAAATCAAATCTGTGTGTAACAAACTGTTTCCACACTTCGACACTTCCTTGTTTTCTATCAAGTTAGCTGCTTCGACACAAAGAATTATACTTTCAACATCGGATACATGTGTAGAATTATCCTAACTTTGTAATAGTTAAGGTATGTTTGGATTGGCAGTGGACATAATTGATTCCGACAGAGTTGAACTAGGTAGAATTTATTTTAATAGAATTGAATTTAATAGAATTGATTTATATTTAGATACATTTATGTAAAAATAAGCTGAAAAATAAATTTTAGTGTAAGATTCACATAGAATCAATTCTGAAGGTAGAAACTACAAATTCTAATTTCAAGTAGAATCAATTTTAGAAGCAGAATCAATTCTAATTTTGATAAACCAAACACCTCATAATCACGCAGAATCAATTATACATTTCTAGAATTGATTTTGGGTCTTTAAAAAATGAAACCAAAGATACCCTTACACATATAATAAGGGTCATTGTAAGCAGTCAAATTGAAGGTCAGATTCTCCTAGTTTTTAGTTTATTTCGACTATAGCATGAACAGAATGCAAGACTAATCATGAACATAGTGCAAATGGAGCATATCATGTTACAAATGACTTAAACCATTATATAACTAATCAAAGTTGTAAATCATGTAATATATAATGATTCTACTTGTTTCATTTGAATGGAGTGGTAACTCTGAGATTTTATGGAAACTGATATCCTGATGCATATACATTACACTATTACAGTGCCACGAACATGTAACCGATCGATGGTTACCACCGCCGTACTAATGATGTGAGAAGCTACAAAAGAGAAGAAACAAATTTCGTATTATGTATATAACATCAAAAGATCTGATAAAGATGATAAGGTTAATTATGTACCTCAAAAAGTTCAAAGGGATTTCCATTGCGATAGACGTCGTTCTTCTTACTATTGTCGACGGGAGTAATGGCGTATAGTAATGCCCGGACTGCGATGAGTAAAACAGCTGTGCTTCCGAGACTCGCAAATACAAAACCATAGTTAGGCAAGTGGCCTGATTTTATAGCCCTTATTGCTATTCCTATCTGCCAACAAGTTAAAAAAGATATAAGTGACATCAGTTATCAGTAAGATCACCAGAAAGAAGAAAAAAAAACTGAACATCTGAAGCGTGATCAGAGTGGCCTTATAACGGATGGTCCAATGGATATTGGAAAGACTCTGATATCGTACCGAAAGTAACATAGTACTTAACTAATCATTGTTCAATTAGTACTTCAATTGTAAGAGTTCATTTCACTTATTTCTGAATTCTTGCAAGCAACTAGTTTCTTCAATTATGAAGAAGCAATCGAGAAAACGGAACTTGAGTCTCAACGTAAATCTGAGTAAACAAGCAATTTGATCTCTAAATATGTGAGGCGTTGTCACAATAGTCCTTAGATGTATCGAAATTACCAAAACATCTCCATGTCTATTGCTAGTAGTTTTAATTTATGGACCAAATGACTAACGAAGGATATATTTGTTAGAAGTAATTCATATTCAGAAAGAGTGATCTTCTGAGGTTGTTGTTCCAGAAGTTGTGTACTTAGCTTCTGGGATCTGTGTTGTTTTAGCTTTGTTACTCGTGCCTACGAGGCAATTTAGTTTGTATTTAAACAAGTTTGTAACTAGTTTTTCATAAGGTGAATTTACAAGAGTTTTCACAATAGAGTTTTTCTCTCCAAAAGTTTGTTATAATCGTTTGATACAGTTAGGGACTGTTGAGACAGTACCTCACACATTGAAGAGCCAAAATGGCTGTTTATACGGAATAAAATGCTAAAGCAAAAATGCCAAATTTGAGAATACCAACACAAACAACAACTTTTGTAAAGATGGATTATTCCAAGTAAGCCAATAAGCTCCACATAGGAAACCATGTTTAACTTACAGGGATCCCAACAGCCCATGATTTTGCAGTAGCAATGAGACCTTTGGGTAGACCGTTCATCCCACGCCCATCTTCACTAAAACCTCCAAGGAAGTAAGCCCCTAAAAACCACCCTGCCAACCATTGAAACACATCCAACTAATTACAAATCTCTCCTATATTCTCTCCAAAATAAAAATGAAAATGTTCAACTCAGTCACATGGTTTTAGAAAATAGGCACACAATATCAATCTCAGCCGCAATATTTGCATTTTATGATTATGCAACTACTATGTCACTTTGATTGAGGCCAATGCAGCGCTGACACATACACAGATATACTAACACGTCTCAGACAACAAACACACAAGATACACCTTCACTATGAAGAGTTTGTGCTACATAATAAGGCTACATGAGCCCAAACAAACACACAAGATACACCTTCAATATTAAGAGTTCATGCTACAAAATAAGGCTGCATGAGCCTATTTACTGCAATGTTTTGTTATCGGAGACAGACATGTATCGGGCACCAAACACAACTTCAATTTGAATTGTTGGTGCTAGATGTAAAGGTTGCATACAAAACAAATGGCCCTATTTTGTCATAGTTAACTGTATCAAATTTTAAGCACTGTGCGGTAACCCGCCTTGCACAATTTCAAAGACAACCCAATTTAAAACCATGATTTCAATGACAGAAAACTTAACAAGCATGACATGTGTCAGACACCAAATACTTCAATCTGAAACGTGGTCCTACATATTAAGGATGCATGCACCTATTTACTTGCAATTCTTCACAATATCAAGGATTGGGATGCGAGAACAATGTAAGACCTTGATTTCAAACACAAAAACTTCACAATCATGAAAAACACACATGTGTTAGACACCAAACACAACTTTAATCCGAAATGTTAGTGTGCTACATATTAAGGATGCATACACCTACTTGCAATTCTTCCCAATATCAAGGATTGTGATGCGCGAACAATGTAAAACCTTGATTTCAAAGACATAAATTCCACAACCAAGAAAACCAAACATACCAGCTATAAAAGGATCAGCAGTATGCAGGGTTTCAAGGTCAAAAATAGAGAGTCCATGACTATATCTTCCAATTGTCGAAAACAAAAGCAAACCCAACACATCGCCACCAGCAAACAAAGCTACACGCCTACAACAAAACAAACAAAAACCCAGATGAAAATTAACATAAAGTTTCCATTTTTATGTATAAAAAAGCCAAAAAAAAATACCCCCATTTTTCAATACGAGCTGATGAGTTGGGTTTATCGAACTGAATGACACCCTCCAATGGAACATCCTTATCACCAACAAAAACAGTTTGATCATTGGAAGAGGGTGTTGTGGGTGAAGTTGAGTCTGCATTTCTTAAGGCTTTGGCTAGTGTAAGATGAAAGGTTCTAATGGAGCTTGTTCTAGTGAAGAATTTTTGTGGAGAGTTTGAAGTGATGAATTTGGTTGAAGATGAGATGGAACAGTTTGCAAACATGGTTCTAAAAGGAGGTTGGATGTGGCTAACAAGTATCATTATTATTTACAAAACTCACTAACGTTTGTGTTGGTTGATTCTCAATATTTAAGAAGGTTCATTTGTTCTATATCTATGGTTTCTCAACCACATAACATGATCAAATTTTTTGTTATGTTTTTTTTTAATCAAAAATAATTATTGGGTAAATAGTAAATAATTTGGGCTGGGCTTTTAAGATTAATTTTGGTCTGGGCTTTTATCTTTGGGTAATTGTAGTCCAATGGAGTTGTTTATGGAGATCCCACTTTTGTGTACTTGTTTTGATAAAAAAAATCTACACTACTTCTTACCACCACTCAATTAGACCTCTCACTTTTCAAAATTTGTTTAATCCTATTATGCTCTTATAGATGATTTAATTGTAATTTTTATTGAATGGGTAAGAAAATTAACTTCTTTTTACTATAAAAATACTAAATATTCTAACTAAAAAAATGTATTCTAATCTTTTTGAACCTCTCAATTAGACCTCTCATCTTTCAATTTTTTAATTAAAAAAAATATTCTTAAAAAATATATATTTTTAAATATTGATCTTGTTCTTTTTCGTATAAAACGAATATTTTTTACGCACGACTGTAAAGATTAATCATTGAATTGGAAAGGACTATAATAGACGGTAAAATTCTTTTTCAAAAAATTTAACATTATTGTGTGTTTAGAGAATTGAAGATTTTCGTTAAGTTAAAAGAGATTTAAATGTTGATCATTGTTCAACTGTGATTAAATATAAATTTATAATTTTTACTTTTAAATATTTAAATTTTTGGAATAGAAAATTTCCAAAAATTATAATAGAACAAATATTAGGATTTTATATTCTAAATTTTAGAAAAAAACATAATAAAGATAAAGTGTCGCAAGTAATTATTTTGAAAAAAGAAAATTTATAATAGGCCAAATACTCACAAAAAAAATGTTATTTTACTATAATTTACAATCAAATGAGAAGTAAAAAAATTATTATTTATACTCCGGGAGATAAGAGTAAGGATAGTGTTAATGAATATGTATTAAAGGGAATTTATTTTTCAAATTTATTATTTTTTTTTATGAATATATATATATATATATATATATATATATATATATATATATATATATATATATATATATATATATATATATATATATATATTATATATATATATATATATATATA